GCAGCGGGGCCTGGGCGGCTATGGGCGGCTCCCGGCAGATCCCTTGCTCCATTCCTTGCAGCTCCATCACGTCTGGAGCTGATCTCCAGCTAACAAAGAGCTCTCCAGCAGGCTGTCGCCTGAGCTGGATCATGCCTATGCTCTCTAATTCCTTCAGATATGTTAATCGGGTCCTATTCATGCTCTGGTAAATTTTTGTTCTTTAGCTTAAGCAGTTATGTAAAAAACAGTAGAGCTGGTGCAACCTTGACTTTTACAATGCACCTTGTCTAACGCTAAAATATAACACCAATAATCTTATCTGACGAAGGGGGAAAAAAAAGGCAAACAAAAAAATCCCCTATCTCTGCAGTCAGTATACTACAGGTTTTAAATTTTCTGGTGATTTCCTTTTTAAACTGCTCAGCAGGGTATTATTCAGCCAGCTGCATCGAGGGACTAATATAACATGTGTTCTCGATTTTGGACCCTTTATGTTGGGAATTTTCCATTGTGCAATTGCATTAAATCTGAGGTGACTGACAAGAGCACAGCATTTTCTAACTCTACCCAAGGTTTAATGACTGAAATAAAAATAGATGGAAAAGAAAACAAAGTAAAATAAGTTTGCTTTCTCATGTAGTGACAGGCTGGACCATGAGGTCAGGGACTTAATGATAGCCCAGCCATCAGTCAGGGGCTGCGAGAGAGATGGAAGCAACTGATGCTTCGTAAATCATTTTGGAAATTACCTTGTGTTTTAGATTCTTGTGCTTTTTCATTCGCATAGATCATCTAACCAATAGGACTATATTCAAAGTTACCATTTTTATACAGGGTTGTAATAATGACTGTATTTTTGATGTGTTTTATCTTCTAAACATCAAGTCCCTGAAATGTTATTTGCAGTATTTTCCTTACTAGGAGACTTAAGATTTTTACTACTGCTGTAGGAAAAATAAATGCTGTGAGCCTGTCACTAGAAAGATGGAAGGTAATTTGCTGAGCGCAGGGTGATCTTGTACACCTAAGAGACAATGAATTCGGGTACTCAGTTTACAAACGCAAATGTCAGGCCAAGATGGCAGTGAAAGGGAAAAGAAGGAGCTCTCATCTTTTGAAAGAAGATTATTATGTGATAGGTGAGGGAAAGTTCCAGCCCCTTGGACGGTGCGGATGCGTGTCTGTCCCACAGTCTGCTGAGAGCCTGCCGGAGTTGTTCCTGAGCTGGACGAGGCCTTTTTGGCTTTGTATTCCCTTCCAAGAGGGCTTCAACTGTTGCCCCTTTTTTACATTTCATAGGTTTTGTTTTCAATCAAAAATGTGAAGGTGGCTGTGCTTTTTCTTTCTGAAGTTTAGACAAGACATCAGACGGGCTTCAGCAGGTACCATCTTCATCTACTCTTGCAGATGGTCAGCACTATGCTACTACTATGCTTGCACCATGCTTGAACGTTGGAAAGCTTAATAAATAAAGGCAAAAGAGGATGCAGTTTACCACTATAATTTTCTTATTGATGCAAAGCTTCATGGATTTGCAATGTTAATCGTTTTTGTTCAGGTAGAGAATGAGGTGACCTCAAATCCTACTTCACATTGTGCTTTGCCTAAATGAACAGCTGCACCCTGCAGCAATAGGCTGTATCCTCATTTAGAGTTCCCAGAGGATATCCTGCTTATCTGTACTCTCACCACTTAGAGCTCCCACCTAGAGACTTGCTGCTCTGCTGTCCCAAAAGACCATGGTAGAGGATAGTCAGGTGGCTTTGCAACTTACTGTACTCTTAACATTTTTTGTTTTGATATTGATGCAGCTCTCTTTCCAATACTTTCAAACGCATATTTGTAGAATGAACAGTCTAACGCTTGTCTTTTCAGCATTAATTAGGTCCAAAAACATGGAGTCTGTATGAGCGTCCATGGCTACTGTGTCGAGCTGCCATTGGATTCGATGGATCTTAGCAAAATGAAGTCGGAGTGCAACGCTTCAGCGCTAATACTATGTTTTGAAACCTCTAAAAGGCCATTTCAGTTGGCATAATCTTGTCATCCTACCCACTAAGAGTAGTAATAGTAATCGTAAACAAATCTCAAAAGCGCTTCGCAAACGCAGTAACGCTTATTATCCTTATTTTATAAGAGGAGGCATGGAGGTATTAGGCTGCACCTGCACTAGATTTTTCTGATGTCTTTGTTTTCTTCTCCGTGGCTACACCTCTGCTCACGTGGCTCGGCTCGGCTCTGCCCTGCTCCTCAGGGTAGGCAGGGTGGTAGGAATGCCATTACACCCCTTGCTCAAAGGGAACACTGGTATTTTAACTGCTAAGCAGCCCTCTGGCTCTGGCGCAGGTCTGTTCATCAGGGCGGCAATGCCAGGTGCCTCGCGTCCGAACTGCTCCTTGCGTTGTTGCTGCCCGTGGGTGGATCTGAGCCCTGGGAGAGGTGGAGGCGAGCCCAGCGAGGTTAACGTTGGGGGGGAGAGGGCGGGGGGGAGATGATGAGTGACAGAACTGATGCTGGAATCCAGCCAGCGGGTGGCCCTTTACCTTCTTAATATCCTTTGGCACAATCTCGTTTAGCTTTCAATCAAGATATTTCTTGAGCAGGCAGCTAATTTTCCTTGGTTCCTTGGGTGATTCTGGTGGAGGGGCTTTCTCTGTATGTCCTATTGTTAGGTGAACCATTACGTTCTGCATCGAGCAGATTTTCTTAGCAACAAATGGGAAACTATATCCACTTATGTTTATAATCTGTCAGTCAATTGCAAAAAAACTTGCAAAGAAATATTGAGCACAGAATAGATTAAAAAGGATTAAAACTTTGCTGTTTAGGAACATGAATTTCTTCTTTCCTCGAGCTGGAGAAAAGGCCAGTATATGCCTATATATATATATATATATATATGCCTGTCTGTGAAAAATAGTTCTAGTTCAGAGCTGTGCAGGAACAGACCATTAAGTTAAAAATAAATCTTTAGAACAAACATAGTGCATCTAAACACAAGCGGTTTATTACTGGCTATTTTATTTATACCAATCATGGGACATTCAGCTATGGACATGGGAACAGCAAAACATAGTTTGAAATTCTGATTTTGGACAGCTTTGCCACAAGCCACTGACATGAGAATTTAGACTTAAGCCCTAATTTAGCTCTCCAGGGGCAAACTCACAGAGGTCCGAAGCTGCTGTTGACAGTGGGATGTGCTGGAGTGCTCTGTTATTGGCTTTTTCATTAAAACTGCTTCCTTGTCTGATTAAAAGTACAAGCAGAGATGTTTTGCTTTAAAACACTCCCTATTGGTGAAGAATTCATCACTTGGGCCCTTTGTCAGGCAGGCTGGCAGCTCTGTCCTGCCCGTGAGCTCAAGTGGTAACTTTTGGCCGTGATCGGGGAAATGCACCGAGAGCTTGGCGTAGGGCGCCCTGCGTGCGGGCGCTCCTTCCCTGCTCGTCCCACCTCCGAGGCCTAGTGCACGCCAGCGACTGCAAGGGGTGTGCGTTTGCGGGAATTCGTTTACCCAACCTTCCTCATCCTAATGCAGATAAATGAACAAGTACATGTCAGACAGCTCCTAAAAGCTTTTCGGTACTGCCTGTCACCTTCCCTTGCCCAGCTGGTGCTGTTTCTCCCTGTCAATCCCCCTTATATGAGAAGGGTAGATGCCTCGTTTTTTGAATAATCAGATGTAAATAAACAACAGAGATGAAAATTCACCATGCGCTTTTCTGGTCTACGTAAAAGGAGAAGAAAGCAACCATGAAATCAATTGTATTTACTGTTGAAAGATACTAGAGTTATGTTTTGTGTTTTAGTACTGCTCTGTCACCGAAACTGTCAGGAGTGTTCCCTTTTAATGTTTGGTAGGGTGTATCTAAAAACATATTTGGCAAGTTTCTGTTCCAAAATGTTAATGAAATTGTGACATCTGGTCTAACGTATCTGAAAGGAATATTTTTTAATAGCTAGGGTGCTTAGGAATACAGCTCGTGTTATACTGACTAGGAGGAGAAAACGTACAAGAGGTATCTTTGTAATGGGGTCTGTTTTGCTCAAAGTTCATTCTGCTCTGCATCAATTAAATAAGGAAAATAAAAACTGTAGGGTCAGTACGTTTAAAAGCAGCCGCTCTTTCCCGCCGCTCCAGCCACCCTATTCGATACTGTAGTCAATGGTTAATTTTTCTGTGTAAGTACAGATTAAAGTAATTAAACTGTAAAGGCTTTCTCTTTTTTCAGTAAAACGCACTGTGTCCTTTGGATGTATAGTCTTCCTTACTAACAGTAGTTTCAGCCATTTTGCTGCTCCCTCCTTACCGAGTATACGGTGCAACATAAGCACCCATACACAGCAGTTCATCTGCACCACAGGTGCCATCTGAAATCGTAACCTGTATCAGGCAGAAGCTGTGCAGCCTGCCTTTATCGAGGCCTGGGAGGTTGGCAAGGCATGTAAATCTTGGCACCAGATCTTGAACGGATAAGGAGAGAGAAGACTCGTTTTACTCGTGCATGTTTCAAATGCAGTAGTTTATGTTCATGGAAACTGCTGGTGGGCCCTGGTGCCAACGTAGACTTGTCTCTTACTACTTTCCTTGACCATGAGGAAAAGACAGCTACCAGAGGGAGTCTGAGAATATACTCCTGCCACTTGAGCCCCTCTCTACCGTTCTTAATGTAAAGAACATTTTCGCGCTAGTTACTGTTTTCCTGCCAGAACAGAAGACCAAGAAGTTTGAAGTTTTCAGCTATGCACGTCACTCATCTGCCTGCCACTCTGGGCAAGAGCAATGCAGAGCGAGTGCTGTGAGAAGCTCCCATCAAGGCCGGTTCTTCTATGGACTCACTGTAAAACTTTGGCCAAATAACTGTGTGAGATACTGTGAATGGGGAGTGACCCTGTAATCCCCACCTCTGAAAGCTAAAATCTGATAGACTTGAATATCCGTAGGAGAAAACTTGCAGTGTAACTGCTGGTCATCCTAAATAAATGCTTTTGCTTTGCTTTCCCTTTTTCCCCAGGTACAACTTGTTTGATTGCATTGTTGTCAGATAAAGAACTCACAGTGGCCAATGTTGGTGATTCGCGAGGAGTCCTGTGCGACAAGGATGGGAACGCTATCCCCTTGTCCCACGATCACAAACCCTACCAACTGAAGGAGAGGAAGAGGATTAAAAGAGCTGGTGAGTTTTAACATTTTTGTTTTAAACTGAAGATTCATCTTTCTTCTCTTTACTCTCCCAATAATAACAGACTTTTCCCCTCTAAAAATACTGAAAGGTACCAGACTGAGGAAACAGCAAATAAAATCTTCCATTGTTAATAGAGCACTTTTCAGTGGGATTTCAAGGTGCAGACAGATAAATGGAAGCAGACTGACCTACGCCCTCACGCGCCAGTGTCAGAGCAGGGCCTGCAACCGTCATCTTCAACGGGCAGGTGAACGCCCTGGCCAGTTCCCTTGTGCTCTCTGCAGGGAGCAAATTAATAAACAGGAACAGCAGCATTACAGGCCTTTTCACAACAATGTCTTATCTGCAGCCTTTATGTAAGAGGATGGGTCTAAAACTGAGCACAGTTTACTTCTTAAAATAAGCAGGCTATTAATCTAATTCATTAGAGCTGTTTTTGTTCCCATGTAATGACCGTTAAGCCACCTTTCCAAATGAAATCTTTCTAGCTTTCATTACTTGTTAGTTTAACAGCTTCCTGGGCTAGAAGTTACATTTGGATCATCAAGCTTAATAGCCAGTTTTCAATGAATTTCTCAGTCTCTTTTGAACTCGTTTTTGTTTCGGCTCCCTGCTGCCTGCAGCAGCAAATTTTTATTTTATGATGAAAAGTTCACCCTCTTGTTTGTGTTAAACCTGCTGATGAGCGTTGCCTGCAGAGCTGTCATCTTTCTGCCTCCGACTCTTCAACTATAAAGTGGAAATAGGAAGTTCTTCCTGAGTGTAAAACATTTTAAAAAACTACAGGTTTTCATCGCAGTCTAAGCGCAAAGCGTGACCATGACAGTTGTAGAATTTGCTGTCCTCTGAAATCCTTCTCTCCTTCCCTCTCTTACATTTTTGTTTCTATAAAATCAGATCTCCATATGAATTCTGCTAATACAGTCTTTATTACTTCGCTATATCGTTCCAAATTTTCTCAGTGTGTACCTGGCCTCTGTTGCTTTCCATTCTTTTTGTTAGAAAAGGGTGAAGTTTTAACAGTGTAACGCCGTGCAGAGTGCACTGCCAGTACCAGTCTCTTGTCTTCTCTTACCACCATTTCTTCTGTCACAGCCTGACTGTGACTGCAGCTTTTAGTGCAACAAAGAGGACAGCATCGGGGTCCTTGTTTATTGTAAATAACAGCAAAAGAAGCAGGAATATGTTAACGTTTTCAAGAACTGAAAAAAACTGTTACCAATATGCTACAAAACCAGAAAATACCATAATGGCAAAGCCGGGCTGTGCATTGAGCCCTCCACCAACAAACAGTATTAATAAAGGCTTGGACCTCAACCACTGGCCCTCTTCTAATCCAAAATCAAATTTAATAGCAGTTAGTCATGAAGGTCACTCTGAACTTTATAAACCTTGTGGAGGCCCTTCTGAAATATTCCTGCCTGGGGATTTCACTTGTTAGAATGTTAGAATTATTAACCAGTCCCTTTCCCTCAAGACGCTCTGCCAGCTTAAAAGGGGAGGCTCCCATAATGCAAGAACAAGCCAAGACTGACTTCTCCAAAAAAAATTCTTTTTTCTTTTTAAGCCACCATGTTTAAAGGTGTTTCCTAATAACCTCCTCTGTTCTTGTTGGTCTTTCATCAAATCTGGTGGTTCAAATTTCTTTGGTTTGCCTGCCTTAGGGAATTATATTAGTATACTCGCACCATTATGAATCCCTGTATGAAGATGTATAATTTGGAATGTGTGCTTTCTTCTGAGTTTGCTTTTATTGCTGAGGAAGTGCAGGAGCAGTGTGATTCTGCCTGCTGTGTGATGGAGACCCCAAGAGAATATAAGTTCCTAAAGGGGAATAAAAAATATAGAAATCCTAAGGAGAAGGAATAGAGAAATCTTGGTCTGTCTTTGCTTCAGCTATGTATTTGGGGGAAGTGTTAATAAAATCTGGAGATTTTTCTGTAAAAATGCTTTTACATCTTGGTAATTCCCTTAGTGAGCCCTCCTTTAACAGTATTGACCAGGTGTTCTATAAAACTGTTGCCTTAGAGAAGGCCTTCATTTAGGGAAAAAAAAATAATTTGGGTATTTCTTTGCTGTAGAAGTGAGTCTTTAACATAGCAGTGTGAAGAATGAACCTTGACATTGTATGGATTGTCAGCATTGGCAGAAATGATTTTAATAGACACGGAAGTGCTGTAAGTGTCTGCAACTAAACAAGAAATACTCTAGCTAGCCTAATAACTTAAGGAATTTACTTCTTTACTACATACTACTCCGTTTTGTTATTATGATTGCTGTGACCTCATAGTGCTATTAAAAAAGTAGATTCCATTTTATACTGAGATATGTTTATGTTTCGGAACAGCCCTTTAGATTTTAATGTATACAGTAAAATTGAAGCAAAATACCAAAACTGAATTATCAAGCTGACGTTATTACTGTGACAGTAGTACCTGACCTTGTGTTTTGCAGTAGCTAGGTGTTTCATTATCGGGTACGACTGAAGAAAGCTACAATAACCCCATCAAGATGATACGTTTCACGTTCAGCATTGCTTTGCACCATCAAATGCCAACGTCCTGACCAGGGCCTTATAGGTAGCTATTACCTAGCTGCACAGTTGTGTTAGGAGGATAAGATTTCTTGTAAAAGTGAAATCCATATAACTGGTTTGAGAAAATATCCTCTAAATGTCAGTCTGACATAAATCACTTCAAGGCACCCTGAAAGAGTAGCTCAAAGTAAAGTGTGACTTGCCCTGTACTTCTTGGTGTGGAGTCTTAGTGTTGAGATGACAAGTCTGAAGAAATCCTTCATTCTTTGCCTAATGGTGGATGTTAAGGAGGTTTGAGCTTGCTGCTGTCAGGGGTTATTGGATGGGGAGGCAATTCAGTCCTCCTCTTCTTCCCCATCCCTGCTACTACATATGAAGTCTTCCCTACCCACAGCCTGAAACTGGAGGAGAAAATTCCTCTATCAGTCCAGCATAGCTCTACTGACTCTTGTGCTGAAATCCCCAGAAGCCAACACTCCGATTTCTCTTGAGAGTTCCTGTAGTGCAGTGAGTGGTTATTGGTACCAAAACCTGCCGCCAAAGGAAATTACTACTACCAAAACAAGATGGCACTAGCCTGCAGAATAGGCGGCAGGGCCCTCACCCTTTGAGCTAAGGTGCCGCTTTCTTTTAGAAGCATCTGCTTCGTAGTGTGGCTGTATAATGAGCAGCACCGGTCACAGGGTCTTTGTCAGAATTTACTTTCACAAGAAGCTGACTGTCCGATGCACGCCCCGAGTGCTGCAGCACTGCTCGTCTAGCAGCTGAATGAGAGGAGGAGCCCACCCCTCCGATCCACCCCAAGAGATCTCTGTGGGATAGGGACTAGCACGCCCTGCCACTCAAGGATGCTGTTTTCCCAAGGAATGCCCTTCTGAATAGGGGCTTAAATAGGGAGCCCTGAAACAACCAGTTTTGACTTGGGAAGAGACATTCAGTTCTGGAGCCACAAGGGGATCGTCACTGATGGAAATTTAAGTTATTCACCTTAAACAGAATCCTTGGAGCTGAGCTCTCTAACACACAAACTCTTTGTGTGATTGCCAAAAAGGTTTTTTTTCTTTAATGCCTTTTCTTCTGTAGGAACAGCTAGAGCTGCAGAATGTTTGGTTTTTAATGAGAATTCTTAAGTATTCGGTGTGGATGACTCTATAAAACAAAACATGAAAAGCGCCAACAGCAACTTCAGCAAACCTCAGGAATTCAATCTGTGCCACAGAAAATTTTGGTTGCCGCCTGACAATGGTAGTGAAAAGTCATTTTGTATGCATAAGCCCTACACGCAAAGGCAGGTCACAGATTGCAGTGCGTCAGTAAGATCAGATATCTCCTCTGTAAGTACAATAACGGATGCAGGTATTGCTGTCGTCTAATTATGTCTATAATGGGTACTTTTAATTACCTCCTCTTAATTGCATTGTGTCCCCTGTCATTCCAGTGTATACATACGATTGCATTCAGAGTAACTGTTTTTCAAATCACTTATGAAAAAAAAATCCAGCGCTGATAAATAGGTGGCTGTGTAATATTCAAGCAAGGGGCCATCTAAACACAGAGCAGCAGCTGGACAGGGCTTATTTGACTGCGTATCTAAAGAACAGTTGCAGATAGTCTCAAGAATCCTTCTTTTTTAGACTAGGGGAGGAAATGTCTTAATAAATGTAGACTCCATAGAAGTATTCATGAACACATCCAAATAAAAAGTTTCACTTCTGCCAGTTTTAACACAAATCAAGCTTTAGACGATAATTAATCATTAAATGAAGTGTAGTTTTGTGGGAAAACAGAAGGAATTTTCAGATTAGACCAGCCAACCAGGAAAGGAAATGTATCGTAAGATTTATTAGGTGGCTCGGTGGTTAACAAATAATTCATAGGCTGAAGCGCAAAGCTTAAAACATTCTGATAACTATGAAGAACAAACACGTTTATAAGAAAACCAAAGCAGAGGACTTGCAGATATAAAAATCAATAGCTTATCTGATTTTGTTGCACATTTTTCATATTATGTTCTGTTAACGCGTTTTGCAAATTATTTGTCCTAAAATAACTTAGATAACTTTCCTGTCACGTTAAGATGGAGTATTACTGTGAATCAGTGCAGACAGTGCCATACAAGTACATGCACGTAAAATTGAAGGTGCCTCAGTTTTACTCTTTGACCTTGAAGCAGCACAGAGTCTCCTCCCTAATAAAATCCAGCTGTAGTATAATGGCCAGGTGCTGGCTGTATCAGTCATTGAACTCAGTGAAAAATACATCTCACTAGAATCAATCCCTAAATATAATAGTATGTTTTCAACTGGAAGTGGCCTTAATCCTGGAGATGGTAGCATCAGTCAGCCAAATCCCACACTGTATTTTTCTGACTAGAAGTAAATTTTTATGGTTTGTTCACAAGAATTTTTAGGTCGTTTTTGAGACACCCTTATTCAGGGCAGTTTTGGTCGAAGAACCTTATAAGTGTTTTTGCACTTGCTGCTTCTTTGCTTTATGCCTTGAAGTGAGATGTGAGTCCTACGCAGAGTGTTTTCAGTGTGATGATTCCTTCATAGATAATCTTAAATGAGGGAAAACCTGAACTTGAATTACACAGAAAAAGAAGGGATTTACTAAAGCAAGAATATAAATACTTGCTTTCAGTGTGTTCTCTTAACATTGCCATGAGGCTTTCTGAACAGAAAGTTGTATGGTACAGGAATATTTATCTCTGTGTTCAGCATGCTGTCAGCCTCACTGGGGGAGTAAAGAGTATGAAGCAGTGCTTCATTGGAAAGTGCGGCCGCTTGTGATTTTTGTGCTTCGGCTGTTTCAGTAGCAGGTAGGCACAAAGCTCTTCATTGCAGCGCTCTGGTTATTTCACTTCAGGCATCTCCTGATTTTTGAGATCTGTAACATTTTTTACCTGAGGATACTGCATCATGAATTTTTGGGTGAATCTGGCAGGAAGTCAGAGAAATGCTTTAACGGAATTTGTGTTTTTCTCCAGGTGGTTTCATCAGCTTTAATGGCTCCTGGCGTGTGCAGGGGATCCTGGCCATGTCCCGCTCACTAGGAGATTACCCTCTGAAGAACCTGAACGTCGTCATTCCCGACCCTGATATTCTCACCTTTGATCTGGACAAACTGCAGCCGGAGTTCATGATCTTAGCCTCGGATGGTCTGTGGGATGCTTTCAGCAATGAGGAGGCTGTCCGATTCATCAAGGAACGCTTGGATGAACCACACTTCGGTGCCAAGAGTATAGTTCTACAGTCATTCTACAGAGGATGTCCTGATAATATAACAGTTATGGTGGTGAAGTTCAGGAATAGCAGCAAAACAGAAGAACAGTAATTCCCAGTGATGCTCTGCCTCACTCTGAACTGAAAACAAACTCTTACATTTTAAACATAGTAGAAGGCTCTAGTAAATACCATTAAGATTTTACACAAAAGGAACAGATTTCCTCCCCCCCCCTTTTTTTTGGCTTAACAAAAGGAGCAATACAACAAATAACATTTTGAGTGATTATAAGAATTAAGTTTATTCACATGTACCTGTCTCCTGTGACCTTGCTGCTCCTTAGAAACTAACCGTAATCTTCCATTTCAAACATTTTTTCAAATCCTGTGTAGACTTTTGATTTGATTTCTTACCTCTTATTTCTAAGAGTCAAAAGTTTCATTCAGATGCACAGCAGGGTCAGGGCAGTGCTGCTGCTTAATAGCAAGTGATAGGAATGATGCTGCTTTTCACTCATAGATGTAACTCTTCAGAATGATGCTCTACTCTTTCTTGTCTTATTCTTTTTTAATCTGCAGTGATAAGGTTGTACTGGAAAAGGTGTGTAATTATTGGCCTGTCATTCATATGAAGGAGGAAAAGGAGCCAAATATTAGCCTGATACCACAGAACTGGCTCTCCTCACTTTGTTCCCCCCCCCCCCCACACACACACATTAAACAAAACCTTGCTAAGCATGTGATTAGGTATAGTTAGTGAATACCTAAGAGCACATGTTTATTCAGTCTGTGCATTACTTTAAAAATTTTTTGTCAACACCGTATTGTATTCAAACCAACGTTGAACTCCAGCAAAACACTGATGGCCCTCTGTATCAGAAACCTAGTTCCGTCGTGATAGAAGAATGTCCATCATTCACTGAGAGTCACCCTTATGTCGGTTTTTTAGCATGGGATTTTCATAGGCATGTAAAGAAAATAACGCAAGATAAAATTTCTTTCTTTAGTGACTGCTTGGAGAACTAAGCAAAACAAAGCATTCCTTAGAGCTACTGGACGGAAGTTGCCTATCAAAGATTTCTTAGTACCACTTCAGATTAACTTGGAGTGTTAATCTAGGAGAAGACCACTGTAGAACAGTTTTTTGGCATAATATGTAAATGCTAGACAGTGTAATTGCCCTGCAGAGAAGAAAGATTGCGTTAAGTCTAGGTAAAAATATCTTTAGATCTAACTTTCAACGTGTAATTGTATTTTGGAATCTGTCACTATTGTAAGTTTAAACAATGACCTTCTAAGTTTGGTATACGTATGATAACTTAGTTGGCTGCTTCGCGACTGAGTTGCAGCAGTAGCAGAGTGACAGGGCAATGTGTGTTACAGGAACAGAGCAAGGGCTGAGTTAGCTATTAGTGTGTATTCTGGATAGCTGGCTTGCCTGCATCGTGTCTTATAATAACATGTCCTTTGGGATTCCCTCCCCATAGAACTTGGTCCTGGAAGATCTGCTGAAGTCTCTTCTCTTGAAGGGGATGGAGATTCTCGGTGTTTCAGTCCTGAGGTGAATCAGGGAGATAATATATGAACTAACAGTATCTGTTTCTTGGAGAAAGATACAAGATTACTTGGTCAAAGAGGTACCTTTTTTCTCCTTACCACAGCTGTAGCATTTTCTGGTAAGATGGCTTGTTTGTCTCTAAAATACTGTGATCTGTTGCGGTTCTCTTGAGCAGGTGCGATGTTTTCCAAGACGAGAACGAACACAAATTCTGCTTTCCCCTATTGGAAGGCATTCCCATCTCAGTCTCTTCATTTTCGTTTTTAGGTTATCTCATTCCTAACAGTTTTCCCTCCTTTAGTTTGTTCTGAGATAATCACAAATCTTACCTGGTCATGTTGTTCCTGCCAGTGCTACTCAAAATGTAAACATACCCTCTTCTCATTTCAGACTCTAGGTAGATTCCTTTAACTTCTGTGTTAATATACAGCGTACACCAGTGCAAAAAAGAAGTATGAAAGTGTCCAGAACACTTGGAAACCCAGCCTGCACTGATCCTTATCTGGAAGATGGAAGGTGTGGGATTTTTTTTTTTAATCACTTCAACAGGGAAAACTGCATTCAGACAATTTTAAATGCAACTTTGCAGTGAAATCGAGCAAATAACAGAAAATACTAATAATTGCAGAGTACTTCCAAGTATTTTATTTTGAAAAAGTATTTGAGGTCAAAATACTGTGAAATGAAAACCTTGGATGAAGTTTTCATGGGGGTGCTTAATCACGTACTGAATAACGCTAGAGCAGCAGTATCTAAACCGTGCTCCAGGCAGAGCTGACAGTGCATATAGCGTTTGTCTTTGCTTTCTCCTTCACAGCTGATGTTTCAGTCGTACTGGCTTTTCCTTGTAGGACGTAGCCTGGACATTTGTCAAAACAGCCGCCCAGGGAACAGAAGAATTAGACCCAGCAGTCTGCAGAACTCTAAAGCACACAAAAGCTGGTATAGCAGAAGAGACTTAACTACTAATCTTTCACACACGTTTGCGGAGTTGGAACCGGAACAGTGGTCAGCTCCAAAAAAATTACAGGCCACTTGAGCGAAAAGATTATAGCTGCCCCTAAACCTCTGTGCAGCTCACCACCTCAAGCTTAGTAAACATTGCTAGGGAATTCGTGACCTTCTGCTGAGCACAGCTAGTTTTCTGGTTGCTTTGAGCAACCAGGTAGGTGGGAGAATGAGGTGGCAGGAAATGAACACTTTCACAAAGTCCTAGAGCTGCCACGAGGGAGTTGTTGGGAGGGTGGCTTGCTCTGGGAGTAATTCAAGAAAGGTCATAACGCAATGCAATACAGAACTGTTTTGCAAACTTGCCTGGATATTTATTCCAGGCTTCATTTACTCTGTCACTCGCAGGTCAGTCCAATCAGTTACTGAATCAGATCTATTTCAATCTTTGATTGCAGTTGCAACACTAGTTGTTTTAGCACCGTTACTTTTCCCTGTAACGTTCTCACTCTTTGTTGTAGCACCTTTTCTTGGCCAAAGAAAGCCATTCATGCCAATGATCTCTGGTAAGGTTGTTGACTTTTGTTTTAATTATTTTTAAAAATTCGTTACAGCTACTTTAGGGTTCAAGAGGGAAATGACTAACGGAAATGACAGACTTTGGGTAGTCTGCCTCATACACGTTCAGTGCCTGCCTAGCTCCCCTGTTACACGCCTTCTAAGAAGTTTTCTAGTCCAGTTCTAGACCTCTGTAAGTAAAACTTTCCAGTTGTGCCAAATTCTGTAGTGATATGTACGTCTATTGGATGACAAGATTAAGGAGGTGTGTGTGTGTGTGTATAAGCTTATATATATATAGCTTATGCAACCTAAACGATCTAGACTCTGATCCTCCACCGCCTTAACCATAAATCCTACATCTGGAAAGAGCTGCCAGGCACTGTAACCAGAAAGAGCCCTATAAATATATGCTAGAGCAGTCTACTGTATTGGAGAGAAAATGCTTCCTGCATGCCATCCTCAGTGCCGCTTTCCTGCCTCAGCACCTGTCCAAAGAAGGGAAATGCACTTTCATTGCATACAGCTGAGAACTTCCTAATTCTCGCCTTACATCTTCATGGAACAATTCTGTTGTTTAAGCCGGAGTAGCTTTATCACTGACATCTGTTCAGCAAGTAAGAGCATCTAATGGCAGAAAACTGATCTATTTGGATGCTGCCGAAGAGCATCTTCAGTTTGGTCCAGTATGCAAACTGTACCTTGTAATCAGTCATCTCATCCAGTGCTTAAATAAGTTAGGCTCATCCTAACAAGGATAGTATAAATGAGCAGTTGGATTCATGTAGTACATTTTTTGCACCTAATAAAGATACTAATATTTAGTAGATCACTCTGATTATATGCTAGTATGGTATTAGAAAGGCTGTTTGTCCATATAATGAAAGGGCTATAAGCATCATCATCTGCAGCACCTTGTGCAGTCATTGGGAAGCCAAAGTATATGTACCAGGCTGGTTAGCTGTGATCATGGCTCCGTCTAGTGGCTGGCCTTAGCACGTTAACGAAGCAGTATTTATTAAAGCTAATAGTTGCTCTGTTAGCACGTATATGAAGAATGCATGCGATTTTAAAGACTCCAGTGTCCCTTGTGCAGAAGTCCACTATGAGGTTAATGCAGACCCAATTCTCTCAGACTGAATTTTACACCAGTGCTGAAGCACTGCACTCTGAACATGTGCATATATCTAAAAATGCAGCTCTTCAGCTGCCAAAAAAAATAACCTCACCTCCTCCAACTCACCACTCACCTCCTCACACTTCCCCACCACCGCTGACACCCTCCTCCAACCCCCTCCCCTCCCCCCCCCCCCCCCCCCCAGCATGGATATCTTAACAAAAATTCATGGATGCATTTTAAACACTGACATTTGTTTATGGGATCAAAATGTTTGGCGACAGTATAGCTTAGATGACAGTGGTCAAGCTTGGAGGACTCCAGAATTCATACCTAGTCTCTCAGGGATGGCAGGATCTGCTGTTTTATTTTATATAAAATGTATGCAATTTCTTTTGTTGTGACAGTCAGTGCTAATAGTCTGGGCATATTTATCCCGTCTCACTGGGGAGAGGTGGTCCTAGATGACGTGTTGAGGCTCCTCTCAGCACTGTAATCCTAAAACTTCTAAAAATATAGAATTTCAAATGATTGAGTGTTTACTGAATAGAATGCCTACATAAATATTATAAATAAATGCCATTTAACATAATGAAATACTGTCTACAGACTTGCGAAGACAAGGTCAGAGCTAAAACTGTTATTACAGTATTATACCATTTACATATGGTAAAATTTATAAAATTAGCATACAGCGGTTAGTAAATACACTGGGTTAGTGTGACGTAACAGTGCATGCTAATGCTGCACAGTAATAATGCTGCATCTTGAAAATAAAGGAGTTTTGTTGTTCAGCTGTCTTTCAGAATACATGGCATTCTTGCTTTAAATATTATTATAGTGCTGATGTATCTAATACTTATTTTACGTATAAAACTATTTAGTAAGTAATTATATTTAAAAAAAAAAAAAAAAAGGTCACCAGTCTTTCATTTTCTAAAGTAGGTTTTCATGCCTTCATCTTGAAATCTGGCTATACAAACCTGAAATTGCAAGATTACAAAAGTTAGCACTTTCGGTTGAAGTGTAACCACAACTGTATAGAACAGAGCTGTTACCCTTCAGTTTTGTCAATACACATATAAGTTATTTTTCTAAATCTGAGAACTCATATCCAGTAAGAAATCCATATTTAAATTAAGAATACTGATTTCAATATTGAATTACTCAGTTTTATTTATATAGTACTGACAGGCTTAGCTAAGCAGCTATTTTAAATATAGTTTTCCATTAAATAACTTGACGTTCTAGGTTATCAGTCATCTCCAGTCATAGATGATATAGTGGATGTTCTACTGCTAAACAAGACGTGTGTAGTCGAAGCAACTGAAGCCTGTCTAAAACCGTAAAGAAAAAGATTCACATCAAGAGACAGTCTTAAGTTTTTGAAACCCCCTTTTATGAGAAGGTCAGTTCTTTGCTCCATTCTGCTGAGACGCTGGGAAGAATTCTGAATTTGTTAACAATAGGGAAAAACAAAGGACTTCTTTCTGCGTTAAAAGACCAGTCCTGTGTTCCCTTAAGCCTATGGGGATGTATTAGTATTTCTAGGGAACCCAGAAGCTCAGAAATCTACTTGAGCCTATATTCAACACAGTTAATTAAAATACTATGACTAACCAGCTATAATGTTTCAGGTAGCTGAATGCAGGCCCGTCAGACATTTGTTCTCTGGGTATGCCTATAGTGTAGTCAGGGGTGCAAAAGCAACATAGACAGACCTGTAGTTTACACTTGCTTTAGTCTTGGTAATAAAAGTCATGAAGTTAAGCTGAGTGGGCTGACAGGCATGTATCTGCTCAGCATCCCCAGCAGGCTTGTCCGTGTAAGTGTTGGTGCCATCATGGTTTCACTACCCTGTGAAATTAAGTTGGCTGGCAGTAGCGTGAGTTTGCCCCATGCCTCTGCAGATGTACTCACTTGGCTTCATCTGTTGATCCGACAAGACTTTCACACCAGAACCGACAAAGTCCATGTGTGATTTAAAACGTCTCCTTCTGGTTAAAAGAAAAAAATTAGTTTAAAATGTTTCAGTTGGGAAAAGTTCTTTGGCTGTTTGGAGTTAGTTTCATTTTGTACCGATTCACTACACTGCTCTTTGATCAACTGTTCCTATCTGCATAGGCCAGATACACCATTTACGCACTGGTTAGTAATGCTGGATTTACAAATAAAGTCAATTCCTATAAATTTCAAACCCATCTATCTTTAACATGTTGAATTATAATGCAACACTTGCACCTACTTCTACCGATCATGTAACTGTTAATTTTGTCTGAGGAACAGTTTTTTTAAAAAAAAAAAAAACATACTGTGTGTTAGTATACTTGGTGACTGCAAAACCATTTCTGCCTAGTGTATTTGTAAGTGCTCTTAAAAAGACTGAGGAAAAATTGATTATGAAAACGAACTGTGCATGTTCTGAATGCTGTAAGGGCAGTTCAGAGGTTTATCAAAGAAAAGCCTGAACAACATGAGAGATGATAACAAAACCACAACACTTAAGTAATTTGTCTTGGTTAAGTACAACTTTCATTCAGTTCAGTGTTGCTGTATTATCTTAGAGAAGAGCCTCTTCAGGCTCCTTTTTGTAACTTTTTTTTCCCCCACTCACAGCAGAAGTGTTTTTAAGGTTGTATCCTTATTGTCAGCTCAGGGGAGACCGCACTTTACTATTACTTGGAGGACCACCACAGACAAAAGCATTACTGAAAGGAAGGGCTAAGACATCAGGCTCAACACCATCTTAGTTTGGATAACAAATTCGGATGCATATGACATCTGCAGACCATCCTCACTCAGCATAAACTTTAATTCAGAGTAATACGCTCTGGAAAAATTAACGTGCTACATAGCAACTGTCAGAAGGCTAGAGGTAAACAGAGCTCAGATATAAAAGCTGTATCAATAAACACCACTTGGGTTCAACTTTGTCTTTTTAAGTGCTTATTTTATGGGAGGAAAATTAAGTCTCACAAGTGTGGTGAGGCAAACTGTACTATAATGCAGATTTTATTTCCTCATGTGAAGATTCATGTAACAGCAGCATCTCCAAGACTCTGTTTTCTTTAGCCCCTTAAAAGAAAGGGTCTTTACGAATTTTAGACACCCAATATGTAATCGCAGACTTTTTTTTTTTTTTTTTGCGTTTCTTTAACATGTGGAGTCAGTTACATGGGAAAACAAACAAGAAACAGACTTGGCTTCATTTTAAGTTTGTTCTCCTTCCTTCCTATGTGTAATGCTTGCATTTGGATACGGTTCATAACTTAAGATGCAATACGCAAGAACTGCATTAAAACTTGACAAGCTTATTTTAACAATCGGGCGGCACTTCTATATGTCCTTCTCCCTCTTGCCAAACTCTACTTTAAGCAAACTGTAAGTTACTCTTAATGACCGAAATAATGGTACACACTGGCCAGAAAAAGAGAGAGATTAAGGAACGCTTGAAAAGCAGGGAGCAAAGCTCTAGCTTCTAGACTCCTGGAACATACCTAACATGTCCAATATGCATATCAAGAACTCAGTGTCCTACTCTGTTTGGTTGTCCTTCAATCAGTTTCTAGTTTAAATTTGAAGGAAATATGATAAAATTACATCATTTATTGTAGATCCAGACAAAGCCTCTATGTCCTTTTACTGATGATACCGAAGTGATGTTTGAATAATGCCCCTATATTTGCAGGGGAATAATACACTTAATGGTTTAGGAATGCACACAAAATATGTAAACATTTTGACTTTTGAACTCTTCTGGAATAATATACAGGCAACACATGTTTGAAATTGTATACTGTAACCCCCCTTTGCTATCCAACCAACAGTAGTTTCCAAACGTTTTAGACCAATGGATTATTATCAAGTCATTATTGAAGCCCCACACTTTCAATGCCAAGCTCACAAATACTTTGAAGTATCTATAGTTTTAAATGGCTTTCTCAACCACTTATTTGCAAGGAAAAGAATCATCTTAGGATTTGGAGAAATCTTAACCTGTGGTTTAGATTTCATTTTTTTAGTAAAATATCATAGGCACATGCTGTCAAATGTAGGCCCAAATGATAACCACCACTGACTTAAATGCTTGTGTCCGTTCATAGATTTAAGCTTTTTAAACCTCTTGCATAGCTGCACATGCTAGCGACTTCCTGACACTTACTTTAAGCAGAAACATTCGCTTATTTATGCATTTGTATGGTGTTTTAAGCAATAAGGTCAAATGCAAATACAAACTGGATTTGGAAGTGGGTTAAAAAAAAAAAAAAGACACAGGAACGTTTTGCAACATAACTTTCTTGCAGAATTTATGTCACTAAATTACAATGTCAAGTGGCATAACCAGATCACTGTGTAAAAACCTACATTTGTGAAAACAAAAGCCTTGTAATCTATGATCATTGTTAACATTCTGGGATGCAGATATAAAAATAGCTTGCTCGGTGACAGTTGCATTTTTATTGCAGTAACGCACAGCCATTTTTCTGTGATACTCCTTATTTTCTGAACAGGGGCACTGTCTGCTTTATATATCCAGTTTTTGAAAATTACATAGTCTTTCATAATACAATTTTTTTGAAAAAACAATACAATCTGTGCTGTAGTATCAGTGTTCTTGCTACTTATTTCCAAATGAAATTATTTCCAAACATTCATCATGGCAGACAGCCCCCCACCCCCCCCCCCCCCACCAATCAGAGGACAGGTTAACCATTTTCCACAGAGCTCTCAGATCTGACCACAATACGAAAATAATCAAATGACAAATCTTAAAATCCTACGAACGTAGTAGTTTAACCTCTGTTTCTAGGTCCACAATAGCATTCCTTCCTCAATTATGCAATACTGTATCCTTAGCTGTTTAGTTTAACCAAGAATTCTATTTCTGAAAAACTTTGACCCTCCTTAACATACATTCTTAAAACACTGAAATCTGAAATGCTTGTTTTGACGGTATTCTCCCCTAAGACCTCATTTTTATAGTTAAAAGCGTGTCCTGTAATTCCATCATAAAACTATGTGTAGTTATCGAAAAGACAGCAAAAGTCAATACTGACCATAATCACAGTGTAACAACAAAAAAAAGGTGAAACCTCAATCTTGTTACTAGAGGTTTCTGCATCTCTTCTAATTTGTCTCTAAGAGACTGTCTGAAAGATAGCCAAATGTAAATATATCGTAACATATTAGCTTTAGTACAAATAAGGTGGCAGTGCTCTGTCATTCTAGATGTACAGGGTGTAACTATAGTATCTTCAGTGTGTAGTAGATGTGTCAAAGATAGTTATGTTAATGCAATTACAGATTCTGTATTGTTGTCCATTAGAAGTATAAACTACTGAAAACTTAGCATTGCTGATATGAATAAAGTTATTACAAAACCCATCTTTACAGATATAGTTGCATTTGTGTTCTTTAAGATTCCTGGAGCTCCATTCTTAAATTTTAAAATTTGAAACAGAAAAACTACTTTGGACACAACTATAAAGTGGCAATTTAAATACACCTGTTTTTATTTTCCCTGCATGGGCTCCAATAACTCTTGGGATGCATCAGCACATATACGTAGGTATGATTTTGCTATATTAGGAGGTATATGGTAACAAAACTGCACTCGGACTCTCCTGCAGCTAGCCCTCCAAACTCTGTGACTGTTATCTACACCGCTTAAAACATCAGTCTGTTTCATAGATACATACATACACGCACACACGAGTACACCGCATTTTTCAGAACTCGCCATCAGAGTTGAATCTCATTGCAGACAACAATAAGATTCAACGTTCCAAAGTCTTGGAACACTCTCAGAAGGATTACTGACTTCATGCATTTAAATAAAAGTAGTTTTTTCAGTTCCATGCTGAGCAGAGAACAAATACTTCTGCTGAGCGTGGCAAAGGAGGATAGCTTGCAAAACAGCAAAAAGTCCTGTTAGCCGGGGATTTGGGAAGCACCATCCAAGCTCGTTTCTCAGAAGAAACGTTATTTGTTGGTGAGATTTCATAAACACCAGGAGATTCAGGTAGAAATCCTGTGGTTACAGCAAAACGTATGGAGAAGGCTGCGATCAGGACAGAGCATTCCAAATTCTCTTAGCATGCACAGGATACGTACACGGAAGGTGTGTTGGGAATTCCTGATCTATTCAGTTTAGGAGTATTAGAAAGCCTCAGAGAAATGCTGCCAGACCAGTTTTGTCCTTGCAGCAGAGTAGTCCCTCCTTTAGCCAGTCATTTAGCCAGCCACTATAACTGTGGTTTTGCTTCATGTTTCCCTAAATCCCTAAAACATTTTTACACTGAAATTCAAAGGTTTAAGATGATTCATATTAACACAGAATCAAAGGCAAGTAAGTGAAGTGGCTGAGGACAAATCTTGCCAAAACCTGATTATTTCGCTTGACGTAATACCATGTACTGCAATCAAATGTCTATACTTACAAATATCAAAGTTAATTTTATAGAGAAAGAACTGTTGCTTATCTTCTGGAATACTGATGTTCACTTTAAGTATACTTAAACAAATTCCAACATAAACATCTTCAAATTTAATAGGTTTGATATGACTCATCAATTCATAAATCCTCAGAGCAAGTTTCCCATCCAATATATAGCCCATTCCACTACAATATGGAGGAAACAACCTGAATGGATATTCATCATAGGAGATAAATGTCTTTTTGTAAAAGCCTCTGTAGGCAACGTTATCTATTAGAGGATAACCAGTAAAAATATTTTCTGAGGAATTCAGCTTTAGAAGAAATTTTACTAAATTACCAGTGTTGATGAAAACATCGGCATCAGTCTTCATGAAGAATCTAGCATTTGAACAAAATTCCGTTACCCATCTAAACGCCATGATTGTTTTCAAGGTGAGATTGTCATACGTGTCCATAAAATCTTGGCGAATTATGTCACCATAGAGAATACTTTCATCTTCTACTGACAGTGTTGCAGAATTGTCTCTTCTTTGAGTTTCCTGACCTAGTAAGAAAAGGGTTAGAACTCGATGTCCCCACCAGAAGTTTTTAGATCCCCACGTTATTCTTATGGCCTGCCTTGACTTCACGTCCTTAGGTTCTGAAGACACCAAGATGACTAGAAATGGATTTATGTCTTCGCATTTCAAGCGTTCCCGCAAAGTGAAGAGGTAGTGTTGCTTGTAAACTGGTTCATAGTCATAAAAGTACATTGAGTTTGTATGCTCAATCACAGCATTGGAGGAAAGAGTTACGTACCATATTGTTATGACAGAAAACAGGAGGAGAGACAAAAAAATCCATTTCAACTGTCTCATATACATGATACTAACTGGAACAGGGCAATAAGTAATTTGCAGAAATATGCCAGTGACCTTCGAAATCTGGACCACAAGTTCTGAAGCACGTGTCTTACTGGAAAAAAAAAAAAAAACAAATGAAAAAGTAGTATTCAGAACGCTATTACTCAAATATTATCTTCTTCTCAGCCTAAAATGGTAGCTGAAAGCCTGCTATAATAAAGACGAGACTGCTTGGTTCAGCTATTGCATATTGTATCCTGTACACCATGCATCAATAATGTATCCTGAAAACGAGAGAATGAGCAGAACACTGAGCTGCTACTGAGCATGGTACGGATTGAAGTCTCACAGCTTTCCCGTTGGGAATTTCCCCTACATAAACCTGACCTCTACAAAGGATCACAAATAGAGCGTTTTGATCCTGGAGAAAGCTGAACACTCTCAGCGCGATGTCTTAGACTCATTTAAACCTCGAGGAAGGAAGACAGTACACAAAATCTAATGGCTATTAAGTGCTCAACAAATTGTTGTGCAGAGACTTCAAAATGTTGTACTTTATTTCAAAGAAAGGGGTATTACTATAGTTTTTATCAACTAGAACAAACCAGAAAAGAAAGGGGGTAAAAAGAGTACAGGCAAGTCATTCTTCCCTCACTGAAACGTTCAGCAGAGTCACATACCTAACTAAGTGTTCCTAACTGGCTGAATAGGCGATGGGGAGAGAAGGAGGAAGTAACTTCCTTACAAACAATCCCAAGCTATTTCAGCGTTGCAGACTTGCAAACACAAACGCATCTCGGCAGACAGGCTGAGCTATTACAGTGCCCCTCCAAAAATGGCTGTTCCTACAGCACATACCATTATACAACATTCATTCATTATCTGTTATGTGTTTATTAAATCACGTGATTCAGTAATGGCACATGGCAACCAATTTTTGTCGCAGTTGACACAACGGGAACAGCAGCAAATCCAGTGCAGTAGATGAGGCTCAAACCTTAAAGACGCTTTGCAAATTCTTCTAATACTTTCATATGCACAAACAAGTCACTACAAAATCCTCCTACCTGCTTTTATCTATTTAAGTTTCAAAGAAGAAAGGATCCCATCTGTATTGTTTTCCTGAAATGTCTACAGACCCTACCCCCATGTGCCAGTGCAGAGTTAGAAAATGCAACAGACTAGCCCTGCTCCATAATGCATGCCATATTAAATGAAAACAGCAGTGAGCACAGAAGAGGAACACAGAACCAAAGCAGTCTTTCAATGAGTGACACACATACTGGCCTGGAGTCAAATCCATGCAGGCAGGTACTTCCGAACCCCCATGGAGTCCATGCTGAAAATATTACTACAGTGTCAAGACCATAAATTCAAACCAATATATCTTTCCAAATCTATACTGTAAATAAAATCTCAGCCCTGTACTCTCCACGTAACAGCGCTTACCTTTACTATATTTATTAAAACTACATATTGTATTAGATACGAGGTTATCGTTAAGCCGAAGTAATAACCATGTCTTATTACATGCATAGGAGTCAATCTGAGATGCAGTTTCACAGCTGAGCAAGAAACTCCCTCGGCATATTGTGGGAGTTCCAAATGATCTCTAATGCTTTCAGTGATTATATTTCCCCTTGCACTGTAAATGTAGCCACAAAGACTCGATAAAGGATGACGAGAAGGTTCAATTTCACAGCACAATTAATTACATTTTAACTAATCTTTAAAAAGACCACCACAGGGCTTGGAGCTTTTTGGTACAAAATTAAGAAAAAAAAAAAAAAAGAAAGAGAAAAACAACAATATAACCTTCTGGAATTTATGTGATTTTGATTTGCCAGAGCCCTCCTGCCTGGTATTTCTGCATATGATTTGACCTTAAATAGATGATCCTTTAAAGCAAGTATTTGGATCCTATTTCATCAGTGATGCATCATGCATCACTTACAATATATTGCAGTCATTTTATTCAAATACCTATTTAAATAGAAGAATTTCAGACTGATCTCTCTCAAACGTGCATTACTTCAAAAATACTGAGGGGCTAACAGGAATCAGTTCTTCACTGGAGGCACCTCACATAATTACAGATGAACAAGTGAGTTTCATTAAGAAATTCCTAAAAGGATTGATGATCTTTCCCTTGTTCATAAAAAGCTTAAATGCTCAGATGATTTTTTTTTTTTAGGGGGGGGGGAGGCGGCAATTCTTTTAACTGCACATGGATTAAACATATGTAAGCAAAATGAAACTAAAGTTTGGGAAGTGTAGAGGAAGCTGTCAGAGGGACTGTCCAAACTGTACGTAATTTAGGAAAGCTGATTACAACCACAAAACTCTCAAGAAGACTTCCCCTCCTTATATGGGATCTAACTGGTATGTACTTCCCAGCGTTATGGAAAGAAACAAAAGAAGATGCTTAATTCTTCTCTCTTCATACACCAACCTGATTTTTATTGAACAATATGAAAAATATATACTGGAATAAAATAACCGAAGTTATCTATACCAGTGCTTATGTATTGGATTTTCTATAGATAATGTTTCTCATGGTCTGATGATCAACATAAAGGAAAAACTTATCAAAGTTTGTTCAGTTCTTGACATCTTGAAAGAGGAAAAAAAAAAAACAGTCAATAAAGATTTCAATTCCTTATTGACAGAAAAATCTGATTCTATAACTTTTTGAACAACAAAATTAGAGACCAATGCCTGATCTGATAAGCGATGAAAAATCTGGGAAGAGAGTATATCAGCAATTCAAGTTCTCTGCCCAGACAATGCAAAACACAATCTTAAAGCTACCAGATCCTCATTAAAAGTCCATACCACATGGAATCCAGAACAAGCATTACAAAATGCTTAGTATTTTGCTGTATGAATCCTAAAGGAGTTAGGAATCCTACCATGAAACTCTAAAAGTTTGGAGTCCAGTTCCTAGAAACACTGCTGTTCTGTTCCATGAATCTCACTCACGTTATCCTTTTCAGCCTCTCAAACATCTTGCCCTCAGAAACAGCAATGCTAAGTTGTCTTACCATTTTGGAAATACAGCAGCTGGCAATTCTTGCACTTGTGAAATTTCAACAACTACCACATATGCTGAGCATGCAGCTGTGAAAGTGAAAAAACAGAAGAAGGGGTAACAGTAAATGAGTTGTTTATTCCAGAAGATGATCAGGGGCCATCCACACAGGAGAGGGCAGCAGCACCAAGCTCATGGAATAAGCACCAAATGGCAGGATTAGCGCACTCAAAAAAAGCAGGATGATCAACAAAGCACATAGTTTAGCTTATCACTTGAAGAATGTGGCCTTATATATCCAAAAAATGCTGTTTGCAAACTAGTACAGGTTCACCAAAACAAAGCTTTTATAACGGTGAAGTGGCAGAAACCGCACTCCCAAAACATTAGCTATTTAGTGTAGCGCTGAGAACCTACGATAAGGGCAGTCATCTTCCGAAATCATTAAGCACAGCACTCTGGCTTCAAGCACACACACAGAAAATAATAAAAGTGTCAATAAAACAAAAAACCCTAACCCTAGCAGGTAACAAAAAGTCCTGTCTCTTTTTATTCCAAATCCTTAAACCAAAGAGTCATCCAAAGCAATGAGGCTGAGCTGATGCGGTTTGGCAGGTCACTTAGTAATTTCGCTAGGAGGTGGTGAAGTTGCAGAAAGCAGAGATATGCCCCTGACAGGTTCTTTACTACTTTTATACTCTGTTTTTCTGCATTTTTTGCTTTCTAATTGCAGTGTCACACGACAGGAGAGGCAGCAGGGAGCAGTGCCAGGTCAAAACTTCTTTTCCAAGCAACAGTTTCATTTGCTTGCAAGTCCACAGCTTGCTAGCAGGACTCAAACTTAAGTTTGAAGTTATGCTGACAGATGAATCAGATCAATTTTAAGAAAATCACATTTAAGGCAAGATGCGCTGGAGACGCTCTATAGAAATTTTAGAGGTGTTCCTCACATTCTGCTCTAGCTAGGGTAATTTCTAGTGCAGACATTCTTGACAGGCAAACCGTGTGGCAAATCGTCAAATTCTAGTCATTTGTGTGATAGCCAACGGATAGTTCAATTTGAAGATAAAAAACCACCTAGCACATTTGTAATGATAGGTGTATACAAACAGAAATTCAATCTTTTTTTTAGTCACGGCCACAAATCATTTAGAAAGGTATCAAAGTTCTTGGCTTCTCATTTTCTTCATATGACTTGCTAACAATAGGAGCTTGAGGTATTTTTGCAAGATGCTAGGCTATGAGGATAACTAAGTTTAAAGGATATTAATACAAGGATATTAAAAATACTTAAAGCAACCTTTTAAAATGACTTGCTATCACTTCAGATTATCCAAACAATCTTAATTTTCTGTTCTAGGCAATTACTCCACACATACTGCAGAATTAAGGAGGAAACAGCCCAAAAGGCAGAATTAAGAGGAAATCTACTGCCCCCTGCTGAAATTACACAAAATAGAGTTAAATTACTCTCATTTTTATGTTAAAAAATAAAAACATGGTGATAGAAGAACATTTCGTATCCCTACACTACGTTTCTAAGACACTACCCTTCTGACTATGCATCAGGATACGGATGTCATTCTAAGTTCAATGTTTAATTCCAGTGAAAAATAAGGAAATAAGAAAAACAAGAAGAGGAAAAAAATATGAAATAAACCAGTCTCCTTATAGATCAGTTTATTCTAACATGAGAGCACAAAAACTGAAATAAATAAATCTGCTGTCCTACTGAGCAGCACCCATACTGCAGAGTTAAGGCCCTCCAACTACCTTCACCATCCTTTTCCGTGACTTAGGGTTACTTTCTTATGGAGTATGTAGTAGATTACTTAAATAAATTATCCCTACATTTGTAAAATGCTTTGTCCTGAATCGGTATATTTCTTTCCCTTAACTCTATTTCAGCGTATTTTACCTCTGAATCTGCTCTATGGGGAAGAACTGCAAGCAGCCCAGTTTCATCAACACACCTCCGTTCTGTCCTAGCGACTGATGTTAAAGGATGCTGCAATTAACAGCCCAGTGAAAAGTAGGAGACAAAACTATTTAATTATAAGGCTTTTTCAGTACATCGACTTCTTGAGGTATTGTGTTTAATACGAGCGTTATTTAGGATAGCCAAACCAAAGCCAAATATTTGAGAAACCCTGCCAACAGTATTCCCAAGACCTCCCCCAAATACAATGCGAGCACAATCAAGCAAGCACTTTTATTTTTATTGCTTTAGTGCCTATGTTATTATCCTTTTACCTCGGAGGTGTTTCGGGGTTTGGAAGAACGAAGTAACCTGCTAAACAGCATCCCAGCTGGCCAGAGAGCTCTTTCCATCCTCCTGTTCCTCCGACGCACGAGTTTGCAGCGGCCAGGCACCTCCCGGCGGCGAGAGGCCCTGCCTTCCGGAGTGATCACGTTTAACCCCTTCCTCGGCGAATTTCAAAAATGCACCCACGGGGAAGCCATCTCCTTTCCTCTACGAGCGAGCAGCTGATTAGCGCTGCTCCCTCTGAAAATCTGGGGGGAGGGCGCCCCTAGCCCACCCCCGTTGGAAACGCACGACAATAACAGACTATCGAGGGCGGCTGTCGCCTCCCGACTCTCCGTCGCGAAT